TTCATAAAATCACCAGCTAACGCCATCCCCCAGTGGTTTAATGCACGCATCTAAAAATTGTATTTCGCCTATTCACCCGTCCCTCTCAACTTATCGACCAACATGAATCTTCTCTCGATGTTCCCTCTCTCCTCCTCCTCCTCTTTCTTCGCTAATCGATTTCCAATTTTCTTCTTCGCCCTTCTAAACTTCGTGGAAGAAGTTAGAAGACTTACTGAAAACTTTATATACTATATATAATATAAACTTCACCATTGATCATTGAATGAGGGAAGATATCAAGGAATCGATTTGTAACACCTACTCGTTAAACTGGCTTCCACGAGGATAAAGGAGAGATTTTCTTTCTCCCTCTCTCCTTGACGAAAATGATGGATGTGATCGATTTCACGATCCACGATTCCACGATCAAATAAATCGAGTCGTCGAAGAAGATAACGATATTGAGACGATATTGATGATGGAAGGGATCTCCTCTTTTAGTCTCATGAGATTTTTCAATATCGATGGCTTCGATTAAAGAAGTTGTTGCATTGGAATTGGAAAAGTTATATATATATATGTGTGTGTATGTGTGTTATGTGTATATATATTCATAACATCAATTTTAAAGATCGAGAAAGAGAGTTGATATACATTTAATATATTTGTTAAATTATAAATATAATTTAAATTAGACAAAAAAATTAATAATATTAACTTTCTAATGAAATTTTGAGATATGTATAAATGTATTATAATTATCTTTTTATATCTCGTATATCTTCTCGTGGTATAAAAATAAGAATTCGAAAGTTCAGTGTCTGTCTTAAAAAAAGATTTCTTGATTTAATTTAATTTAATTATTAATGTTTCTAATATGTAGAAATATATGGTGGAATATGTATAAATATTTCGTATTTCTCATGAGTTAATGAAATTTAATTAATTGTTCTGATTGAAGTGTATAAAGTGAAATCAGTTTCCTTTTTTTTCCCAAGATGAAAAAAAGAATGAGCCAGTGAGAGAAGTTTCCAAATCTATTTATATATTTTGTTTATATATTTTTATATATTATGCTGAATCAGATGAAAGTTTGCTTATAAAAATTTCCATTTCCATTGCACTTTTTTTACATAGTATATGTGTGTACATGTATCGAATTCGAGAAAAAATTCGATGTAAATCTTATGAAAACTTTGAAATTGAAATAGTTTTTCGAATCTCTCTTTTCACCATCCTCGAACTTTAAGAAAGTTTATTATTATTAAGTCGTGCTATTTAGACGATTATAATGTATAAGCTTATAAGTAGACAATGCTATCTTATCGCTGAGATGTACTACTTAAGATGTAGTACAGTATAGTTCTAAAATGTCCAAACTTTTCTTTCTCTAAGTTTTATCTTGTCTATATACAATTTTGATATCGTGAAAAATTTGACCGAGAAATTTTCTAAAAAATTCTTTCTATTTTTATATTTAAAAAAATATTTAAAAAATCTTTTAAATTAAAAATAAGTAATCGAATATAATTAAAGATATTTCGAACATACAAATATAACAACATAATCTTTTTCGAACATAGAAACTAAAAAATCGAATATATAATAATAAAATCGCGTTTTGATTCATTTATCATTGAGTTATTCTATTTGAAATAAATCTTAGAGAATAAATATTTCTTCATTACTTTAATTTTTTCTTAAACAATTCTAATGCGATTAATCTGTGGCTATTGTCATAAAATTAATTGAAAATTAATATTAAAATTCCTCAGGCGAGAAAAGTAGAAAAGAAATATGTTTTTAATTAAAAACATATTGTAAATTTCTTCTTTCAACCTATAGTCTATGTATCATAAAATTCAGCGAATTATTATTGAATTTGTGTCTCCACTAATTTATCGCTGACTTGTACTACTTAAAACCACTTCTACAGTATCGGAATCTGCTTCTTTATTCTTGATTCTTTATCACTTCTAAAAACCAACTTCGTGGCATTAAAAATTCTCCTTAATTCGAAAAAATTAAAAAAAAAAACCACAAATTAAATTAACCAAACTGAAAAAATTCCTCCTATAATATCCAGAAAAAAAATCAATCCTTCTAACAAAATACGTTATATTTTTCAATTAAAAATATATATAACGATCTCCATGAAAATTATAGAGCGTTTAAGTATCGCATCGAATTTGATGCTTTGTTGGATTTTTTTCTTCCAAGGCAAGAGATTTGTTTCGTCTGGAAAAACAAACAAAAAAAAAAAAAAAAAGAATCGTTGGTCATTATTCGGGATGGATGTGAGCCATGAAATGGGCGGAAACGAATCGTTTCGAAGCTAAAGGACGGTCGACGGAAGTCAGCGAGTCGTTAACGCAAAATCCGGAAACGGGGCTGCGGCTGTTGAGGATCCTTGGGAAATTTAAACGGCCGTGGGTAATTTCGTATTCTCTACTCGACATCACTTGAATTCTATAAGCCAGGTTTTATTTTGTTTTTTACGTTTTTTCTTTTTTCTTTTTTTCTTCAAGAAGCAGAGAGAAGGAGAGAAATTAATGAATTAAAGAGAACATTTTTCCTTATCAGAAGAAATAAGGTAAAATAAGACATTCTTAACGACAATGACAAGAGATTTGAAAGTTTGTAAATTTGAGAAAAATATTTTTTCTTTCAAGAATTGGGAAAACATGAGAAAATTCTTTGAATTAATTTTCTCGTTATAATTTTATGATCATTTTTTTCCTTTTGTTTTATTAAATATTAATAATTCACAAATTATTATTATTTTTAATTGGTTTAATAGAAGTTAGAAGAAGCTAAAAGAGTGATAATCTTTTCTGATTTCGTGTTTTCGAATAAAATATAGGTAGATATTTCACGACAATTAAATTTAATGGCGATCTATAATTTATTGAAGAAAATTTTTTTTGTTTTGGTTTTTAATGTAATTATAAAAAAATATAATTATTTTTCTTAAAATCATATCAAAATAATGTTTTGTAATATTGCAACATTCTGTTATTTAATTATAAAATTAAACAAAAGAAAATATGCGTTATTATAAGAACACAAGAATTATTATTTCCAGTTTTTCAAGAGAAGTTTTTAAACAAATTATAAAGAATACTATTTTTTATAAAATTCTAATTATAATATTCTGAATAATTATTTGCATCAACGATGTTTATACAATCTGAAGGAAAAAGGAAATGAAATTATTTGTTTCTAAATTCTAATCTAAAATCCTCTAAATGTGATGAAATAATTTCTTGAAATGAAAATTTAATACTCATAGAAACTATTTACATATACAAGAAAAAAGAGGAAATTTTTTATTCCTAATCTTTAATCATACATTTTAAAAAAGTGCAAAAAAAGATATTATCTATTTTAAATATTGCATAATAAAGCAAAACACTGAAAATCTATAATCTTTTGTAAATTATTAAATCATATAAAAGAAATCCTTTATAAATAATAATAATCCCTTATTTCTAATGTCTAATCTTGACAAAACTATATATATACTAATGAAACAAAAAATATTAAAAGTCTTGAAAAAAAAAAGTAAAATATAGTATGAATATATAAGAAAAAAGGGGAAATCTCTTATTCTTAATATCTAACCATACATTTTAAGAAAGAGGCAACAGAGTCGCCAATGAAAGCTAGTTTTTGTGACTAGAAAACAGCTCTTAGAGTAGAGTGGTGAAAAAAAGAGAGAAAAAAAAAGAGAAAAAGAGCAAAGAAGAAAATGGTACAGGCTAGTTGGATCATTGCCAGAAAATCTCGCACGTGTACTGTGTACCTCTTGCCTCGTGTTCGTTCATGAATAGAGTCTGATTCGGAAACGTCGTGTTCTGCTGACAGGATTCTTGTTCATACCATGATCGTCCATTCCGTTTCAAAATGGTCGAAAGAAAGTGAATAGGATCTGTAAGAGAAATAGGTACAAAAACTTCAAGAGGCTAAGTGAATGAATAGAAATGATTAGACGTATAGTATTTGTGTTTTTAGGTAAAAATTGAATTTTATATTTTTCTCTTTATCTTTTTTTTTTCTTTCCAATGAATATTCGAATAATATTTTTATCTTATTAGATATTAATTGATATATTAAAATTTTGCTGAATTTTTACCAAAAGATTTAGAATTTCTTTTTTTTATTAAATAATATTTGAATCAAAATTTGATTGAATATTTTTTATGATATAATTTATTTTTATTAACATGATATTATTTTTTTATAAAAAAAAATTTATTAAATATTATTTATATTTCTATAAAATAATATTTTAATTGAAAATTGAATTTCCTATTTCTTTTTCTATTTCTTTATTATAAAATAATATTTATATATAAAAATAAATATGTAATAAAATTTCATTTGTTTTCAGCAAACAATTTTTAAAACGTTTTAAATTTATATATATTATCTTTTCAATGAAAAAAGAGTTTTTTATCTTCATTTTTTCGTTCAAATTTAGTATTGCATTTCGTGGAAATAAGAAAACTTTGTAACACAAAACTAAAAGTAGACTTAAATAACTGTATTCTCGAGCATTAAAAATTTTACGAGAGTTGTAAAAATGAAATGAAAACTAAAAATGCTTAAAAGCTAAATATTAAAAAAAAAAAAAAAAAAAAA